ATTTTTATTAGAAAGTGAAAGTTAGTTTTGGCTGTGCTGGGTTTTTGTTGCTGCGTGCAGTCTTTCCCTAGTTGCAGAGTGTGAGGGCTATTTGTTTTAGGCTTTTCATTGTGGTGGCTTCTTTTGTTGCAGAGCATGGGCTTTAGAGTGTGTGGGCTTTAGTAGTTGTAGCACACAGGCATGTCACTCTGAAGCGTGAGGAATCTTCCTGGACCAGGGATTGAACCTGTGTCTCCTGCATTGGCAGGCAGATTCTTAATCACTGGGCCAGTAGGGAAGTCCTTCCTTATTATATTTTTAATGTCGGTAGAGTCTTTAGTGATACCCTCTTTTTCATTCTTGATATTGGTTAAGCTGTGTTTCTCTCTGTCTTTTTAAATCATTCTTACTAGAAGCCTATCAATTTTACTGAAGTTTTGAAGAACCTTCTTGGGTTGAGTGATTTTTTTTTTAAATATGGTTTTTCTGATTTCAGTGTCATTGACTTCTTTACTGTTTCCTTTCCTTTGCATGCTTTTGCTTTATTTTGCTCTTTTTGGTTATTATGACTAACACTACTCTGTTATGAACATTCATATGCACATTTTTGCTTCAGTTCAGTTCAGTCGCTCAGTTATGTCCAACTCTTTGCAACCCCACCGACTGCAGCACGCCTGGCCTCCCTGTCCATCACCAACTCCTGGAGCTTGCTCAAATTCCTGTCCATTTAGTCAGTGATGCCATCTAACCATCTTACCTTCTGTTGTCCCTTTCTCCTCCCGCCTTCAAACTTTCCCAGCGTCAGGGTCTTTCCCAGTGAGTCAGTTCTTCCCATCAGTTGGCAAAAGTGTTGGAGTTTCAGCTTCAGCATCAGTCCTTCCAATGAATATTGAGGACTGATTTCCTTTATGATAGAGTGGTTTGATATCCTTGTTGTCCAAGGGACTCTCAAGAGTCTTCTCCAACATCACAGTTCAGAAGCATCAATTCTTCAGCGCTCAGCTTTCTTTAAAGTCCAACTCTCACATCCATACATGTGGAAAAACCATACCTTTGACTAGATGGAACTTTTTGGCAAAGTAATGTCTCTGCTTTTTAATATACCATCTAGGATGGTCATAACTTTTCTTCCAAGGAGCAAGCGTCTTTTAATTTCATGGCCGCAGTCACCATTTGCAGTGATTTTGGAGCCCCCCAAAATAGTCTGTCACTGTTTCCATTGTTTCCCCATCTATTTGTCATGAAGTGATGGGACTGGATGCTATGATCTTAATTTTCTGAGTGTTGAGCTTTAAGCTAACTTTTTCACTCTTCTCTTTCACTTTCATCAAGAGGCTCTTTAGTTCTTCTTTGCTTTCTGCCGTAAGAGTCGTGTCATCTGTGTATCTGGGGTTATTGATATTTCTCCCGGCAATCTTGATTCTGGCTTGTGCTTTGTCCAGCCTGGCATTTCGCGTGATGTACTCTGTATATAAGTTAAATAAGCAGGATTATTTTTGCTTAAACATGATTTAAAATTATTTGGGGTATATTCCTAGGAGTGGAATTGCTGGATCATGTGGCAGTTTTGTGTTTAACTGCTTGAGTAGTCGCCAAACTTTTTCCATCATGGTTGCCTTATTTTACATTCTTATTAGCAAAATTTTTTTGTACCTAGTCCAGCAATCTTACTCTCTTATGTAGTCGGTAGTTCATTTATATATAATGCAATTGGTGATGTACTTGGGTTAATATCTACCATCTTATTATTTGATTTCAGTTTTTCCTGTTTCCCTTTTTCTCTCTCCTATCTTGACTTCTTTTGTATTATTCTATTTCTCTCTCTATTACGTAGTTAGTTGTGCATTCTTATATTACTTACCCCAGAAATTATGATATGTACTCTTGACTTACAGTATTCTAATAAAAATAACAACTTTGATCACTCTGCCGTTAGTGTTCCTCTGACCCCTGTATTTATCATTTTATTTTTACACATAATTATTTTGTATTTTGTATATCTTTTAAGGCATTTTTTGCTTTCGCATAGAATATTCATTTCTGTTTTCCCACATATTCACCTCTTTTGTGGCTTTTAATTCCTTTTGAATTTTCATCTTAGATTACTTTTATCTTTTAGTGTAGGTTTGGGCCAGTAATTTTTCTGTTTTTGTCTATCTGAAAATGTCTTTACTTTGCCTTCACTTATTAAAGGGTATTTCTGCTGACCATAGTATTATGGTGAGCAGTTGTTTTCTCTTAGCTCTTTTAAGTCATTTTGTTGTTTTCCAGTATTCCAAAGTCCAGCAGTAGTTGTTCTGTTGAAGGTAAAATGTCTTTTTCTCCCCTATTGGTTGCTTTTACAATATTTTCCTTTGGTTTTCCACAGTTTAAATGCAATATGGTTAGGTGTATTTTTTGTATGTATTCTTCTGGGGATTTGCATAACTTTTTTTTTCACTTATTTTTATTAGTTGGAAGCTAATTACTTCACAACATTGCAGTGTTGCATAACTTTTTGAATCTAATGCTTGTCTTTAGCAGTTTTGACAAATTCTTGACCCTCATCTTGTTATATATTGCCTCTGTTCATTCTTTCTTCCCTCTTTTGAGGTTCCAGTTATGTATATCCTAAACATTTTCATGTATTTTACACATCTGTTATGCTTTTTTCTGTATTTTTCAGTGGTTTTGGTCTGTGTGCTCCTGGTTTGGATATTTTCCATTGCCTTGTTTTCCATTTTGCCAGTTCTTTCTTCTGATATATCTAATGAGCTCTTCATTTCATCGTTTATGTATTTCACTTAGAGAATTTCCATTTGGTCCCTCTTTACGATAGATTCCAACTTTCTGGAACCCTTCATCTTTTATTTTCTCAGATGTGTTTCTCATGTGCAGTCTCGGGACTGAGCGGCGTTGAGCCTGGGTTTCAGTTTTGACGGGTCTCTGCCCCCGTCATTCGCCCCCACCGCTGAAGTGTGGCCACTCAGAGGAGGGCGTCCAGCTGCGATGAGGCGGCTCATCTCCTCGGGCTGGGCTTGGGCCTCTGGTTTATCTTTCCTCATACTGACAGCGCTGCCGAGATCTCCACTCTGCTTTTCAGATGCTTTGTGCTTAGCTTTTTAACCTCCTGCCCTGTGCATCTCCAGAATTTTCAAATATCTTGAAGCTCTGTGTCAGACCCAAACCTAGGTACTTCCCTGTTCACCCATCTGTCACTTTCGCTTTGAATTTTGTCTGTAGTCTTTTTTTTCTTCTAGTTTTTGTTTTATATTAGAGCATCATCGATTAACATGTTGTATTAGTTGTAGGGGGTACAGCAAGGTGATTCGGTTGTATATATACATGCACTGTCTATGATCCTGCACAACTGCCAGAGCCCTGCTGGTTTCCTGGTTCTCTCGCATCAGCCTGGGCAAAGCTTGCTTCTCAGTCTCTTGCCTTGCAGCCAGGTTCAACAGACACCTCCTTGGAGAAGTGGCTACACTTACCAGGCCACCTCTGCATGCTTCCCTGCTCTCTGATTCCTGGTCTGTCTAGTTCTTTTCCTTCAATAGCTCTCTAGTAGCCTTCAATAGATACTTTAAAACTTTTCCTATATTTTGAAGTTGTTCTTGATGGAAACATTGATTTAATTTAAAGTTATTAATTTAAAATTATTTCTTCATGCTTGGAAGTGCTGATTGCGTGTAGTTTGTTATATGTTATTATATATAAATATGTTATATTTATTATATATAGTGTATATATAATATATATAGTGTTATATTTATACATATTATATATAGTGATAGTGATAATAAGTGGTAAAGTGATCATCACATATAGTTATGTATCAGTTATCACACCTCTTATACATTTAACTTCTTTTAACACCAGTTTCTCTAAGTGACTCTTGGTTTTGTGACTGTGTTGTGTATAAAAGGCTTCCGGAAAATATTTTATATCAATGTAGAAATAAATTGATTGAGTCTTAGTGGAAAGGCCTTGTGGTGAGAATATGTTATTAGTTAAAGATCAGCAGTGACTCTGAAACTGGTTATATAAACATGTGAAAAAAATATTTGGTAATCAAAAGCCCAGATGTACATTTCTTGGGATAATTGATCTATTCCTGTGGTTATGATGATAATTTTAGTATGGTTTTATGTTTGGGGCCACTATTTTTCTTTTTGTTTCCTTAATATCAGCTTACAGTGTTAGCTCTGTTTACATCATGTGATTTCAGAGTTCAAAGAACTCTAGTGTATGTTTTTAAAATTTTATTTTAATGTTAAAGGAACAGGAAAATATGAGACCAAAGTGATATCTCTTGCCTTACCTCCCACTTCAGAATATGTACTGCTGTGTATAATAATGACTACTCTTCCTCTCCTGTTGGGAAAGATTGAAGGCAAGAGGAGAAGGGGGACAGATGGTTAGATGGCATCACTGACCCAATGGACATGAGTTTGGGTAAACTCCAGGAGGTGGGATGGACAGGGAGCCCTGGCGTGCTGCAGTTCATGCGGTCTCAAAGAGTAGGACACGACTGAACTGAACTAAGCTGAACTTCCTCTCCTACCCTTTCCTATCATTTTTTGGTTCTCCTCTCCTATTGATATACATTAGTTGACAAAAATACAGAAATTGAAGTACATAAGAAAAAGAAAATTGAAATCTCTTGTAATCCCATTACCAAGCAGTAATTAGGTTTCTGAGCGTTTGACACGTATCTTTTGTGGATTTTTCTTTTTAAAATGGACTGTATTGTTATTTGGCGTTCTCAGCCAGGCCTTTTCATTAATATCACCTGTAATAATTAAAATATCTGTATAAATTCTGCAATATACCTCATACTTAACCAAATCAGAATCTCTCGGTGATTCTAGGTGAAGAGGGTTTTGTTGAAAAAACCAAAAACTTCCTTTCAGAAAATTTTAATTGCCTTCAGAAATCTTCTAAAACAGAAAAAAACAAGAATATTGCCATATTATATGTGAAGAAAACTTTAACTTGTATAGAGCTCTTCATCTAATGATTTGATTTGAACTTTTCCCTAGCCATTCCACCCTATGGTGAATTTGGATTGCTCTCGGGATTTCCGGCCATTTCTCTGTGCGCTCTATGCTCCTATTTGTATGGAATACGGACGTGTCACACTTCCCTGCCGTAGACTCTGTCAGCGGGCTTACAGTGAGTGTTCGAAGCTCATGGAGATGTTTGGTGTTCCTTGGCCTGAAGATATGGAATGCAGTAGGTGCGAAAATCAGATTTTTCATGGACCGTTGCTTCTTTTGCAGCATATTTAAAATTATTTGTCTTCTAGTTCATCAGTTTTTAAGAACTTTTTGAAGTGTATATATTACTTATAATTTTGAACAGAAGTTTCATGCCTCAGTTGTTCATTTCCTTAGGAATTTGGAATGAAATGAAAAAGATGGAAAAAGAAAAACATTTCTATGAAGAAATTTTTAAAATAATTAAGAAAAACATAATCAGGATATTGATTTTTGATATCTTTCCCTTACAGTTTTTTTTTTTCTGGTTATAAAAGTGATGCCATTTATAAAAGATTAGAATATATAGAGAACATAACCATTTGTTGCCTCATTATTAAATATCTTTAAGGATGATTTAATGGGATTTGAATATCTTTATAATTTCAGTGTTAATGACTATAGTAGTTTTGTCATTTCTGTTTTTCTTTCTTTTTTTTTTCAATTTTGTTTTTTTGACCATGCAACATGTGGGATCTTAGTTCCCTGATCAGAGATAGAACCCATGGCCTCTGCACTGAAAGCATGGAGTCTTAACCACTGGACTGCCAGGAAAGTCCCTCGGTTCTCTTTCACTGCCATGTATTAACATACCCAGACCCAGAAAAATCGCTTCCAATATATAGATTGTTGGCATTTCTTAAAGGTTTGAGGATATTTACCTGACAGTCTTATGATTTGTATAAGAGAACATAATTGTTAGTAATAACGTGCATGGTAGTAATACCGCATTTTTTATACTGTAATGTACCTGTTTGTATTCTTACATGTTTCAAGGATAAAGCATAGATGAATACCTGTAAAACTCTTACTATCTAGCTTTGTCCAATACTATTTTGCAGTGTTTGCTTCAGGTTTTTTTTTTCTCGGCCACACCCAAGATCCCACATAGCTTGCAGGATCTTGGTTCCCCCAACTAAGGATGGAACCCGGGGCCCTGACAGTGAGAATACCGAGTCCTAACCGCTGTTGCCCCAGATTTCTTTATTAAAGAAATAAAACAGTACAGGTAGAGTGGAAAATTCCTTCTTTAGGATCCATCTTTATTTCATTTCCTTCTTTTCTCCCCAGAGATGAGATAATCATTATGTTGACTTGGTTGTTAATCTTTCTTATGTTTGTTTTTATACTCTTACTATACATTATGTACATATCCATAAGCAACATTATATACTTTTTTACATTTCATATATATATATAAATATATATATATATAAATATATAAATATATAATGTTTATGTATCTGTGTTTGTATCTGTGTTTGTATCTGTGTTTATATTTGTTAGTCTGGTTCATTCCTCTTAATTGCTGTGTAATGGCCAATTGTGTTAATATTATATATAGTTATTTAGCCATCTTCTACTGATGATCATTTAAGTTATTTCCAAGGGTTTGCTATTATGGGCACTGCTGCACAGAACACTTTTTTTCTCCTTCATGTTTAAAATTACTTTTATTTACCATCTATCAATAGCCCTTGGAGGTAGGTAAAAAGCCTATGTTGTTACTGTCATTTGAAAGATGGAAAAACTTAAAACATGTATTAGTTACTTGTAGTCAGTTCACTGACAATTTGCTTTCTCTTATTTGTCTACTCTGTTTTCCACCTATTTGGCATACTCTCTTATCTAGCCCCATCAAACCATTCTTCCACTGTCTCCCCAAAACCTTATAATATTTATAGTTCCTCTTTTAGAAATCTAAATTTCTTGGTATTTATAACAACAGTTATGAATTACCTCAGCAGGAATCCTATTTTATGTTTTGTGTCTAGCTCCTATTGTTTACTGGTCTTTTTATTTTATTATTTTTTTTTATTTTTTCGGGGGTCTTTTTATTTTAATAGATTATGTACAGCTATAGAAATGTCATTGTGATCTCTGTTTTGGTAGTATTAAATCTATTTTGTGTCCCCACTATTTTGCCTGGAATTGCCTAACTCTGAATTCTTACTTAAATTCTGACAAACTGATCTTTCATAATAACCTTTCATTCTTCCACATTTCTCATATCCTTGTTCATACTGTACCTGTTCTTCAGTTTCATGGATACCCCAAAGTTTTGGGGTTTTCCCCCACTTTTTCTAATAGGTCCCTTCCTGATCTCATTTGTTTTCTTGCTTAGGTTAAGCTTTGTTGTCCATTACATAAAATAGTACTTTTGCTAACAATTTCAACTTATTCCTTCTACTGTACTTGTTCAGATCTCTAGGGGACCAATTCAACTAGTTTCTTACAAATTAATTATGCTGCATATTTAATTACTTAAACCATAGCAACTCCTTTTTTCTTTTCACTACATTCCAGAGTCTGTCATTGTTTTATTATATTTGCTTTATCACATCTGTCCATCCCTCTACTGATCCACTAATCTACATTATTCTTTGAGTGTATTTCAAAATAAATTAGAGACCTCAGTTATTGTCCTCACAAATATTTTATCAGGTCCTTCACCAAACATTTGTCTATAGTTTTTTTTTTTTCCTATTTAAAACTTTACAAGGAAATGTACAAATCTAAAGATAGCACCTGAGTTTTAACAAAAACCTGCAGCTTAGAAAGCCAAATCCTTAGAAGGATACAGAACAGGATCGTTACCATTACCTCATGCTCTCATGCTCCTTGCTAGTCAGTCCATGTCTATACCATCCTCTGGAAGCAACTACTGTTAAGCTTCCTTCCTAGATAATTACTTTGTATATTCTAGAACTTCATACAAATAAAGTCATACGTTGTATAACTCTTATTTTGCTTGAGTTAAGATTGCTCTTTCTTGCTCTGTTTTCAAGATTCATTAATGTTTTTGTGTTCATTAATAGTTCTTTCCTTTTTCTTGTCTTCTGTTGTATAGATTACTGTATTTTGCTTATCCATTCTCCTATTGATAGACATTTTAGACCATAGCCACTCTATTTGCTCTTTGTCTTAAGTCAGTTTCCAGTGTGGTTAACAGGAAAGTTTCTGTTCATTCTCCTCAGCACTTATGCCAAATCTGTGTCACTCACCTCAAACCTATATTTCATTTCACCTTTATTCCATATTTGACCCTTATCCCCTCAACCTCAGTCTGTCCTCCTTTCCTGAAAATCACTTTGGCATTTTGTGCAAACTGTTGTGGTCTGCTACATCTCAGACCAGTCCTTATCAGTTTCCTTTCTTGCATCTTCTTTCTGGTGCTTCTTAGCAATCTGTTTCTGTTCTTTTTGATTCTACTTGCTTCCCCTGGATAATTTCATCTCACTGATTTTAACTGTTACTCACATGCTGATGACTCCTAAATCCACATCTATAGCCTTGGCATCTTTCTGGTAAGTTCCAATTCTGTGTAACAAGCAGCTATTGGATATCCTAACCTGAATTTGTCTCAAGTACCTCAACTTCAACATGTCTAAAATTGATTTTACTTCTTGCTCATTTTTTTTTTTAATTCCTGGAAGGTATATTCCTCCTTCATTGACCTAAGCTCCCACATCCAGTCAGTTGTAGATTCTGTTGCTTCTATTTAACTAGTTTCATAGCTATTCATTCTCACTGCCTTATCTGGTTTTCGTTATGGCTCATCAGATATCTTTGCTCTAAATTTTGTACAGCTCAAATGTCTTCCATACTCCTTCTAGTCATCTTTCTAATTAACTTGTATGTGTGGTGAGCGCTTAGTCCTGTACAACTCTTTGAGACCCCATGAACTATATATATAGCCCACCAGGCTCCTCTGTCCATGGAATTTTCCAGGGAAGAATATTGGAGTGGGTTGCCACTTCCTTCTCCAGGGGATCTTTCCGACCCCGTGATTGAACCCACATCTCTTGCGTCTCCTTCATTAGCAGGCAGGTTCTTAACCAGTTGAGCCACCAGGGAAGCTGTTAACTTGGGTAAGGGCTATATGAATTTATTTAGTCAACAGTTATCAATTAAGCAAATATTTAGTCAACAGTCATCCATTCAGCAAATATTAATTGGATGTCTTCCATGTGCTAGACACTATTCCAGATAGTAAAGATGAGTAGTGAACAAAACGTGGTCTCTTCTTATGGATCTACAGTTCTAGTGATGGTTGTAATGGTAGGATATAAATAAATAGATAATGTCAGATAGCAGTGAATGCCAATAAGAAAGAATAGAGCTAGGTGATAGTGATACAGTATGGAGACATTAGAGAAGTCCTTTCTAATAGGGAGACAGTGGAACAGGGATGTGAGTGAAATGAGAGAACAAATGATACAGATATCTAGGGAAGATCAGCCCAGGCAGAAGAAGCAGAGCAACAAGTGCAGAGGCTCTGAAGTGGAAGCGTGCTGGTTATATTCACAGAACATCAAGAACACCACAGAGGCTAGAGCCATGTGAGTAAGGAAGAAGGGAAGGAAATGTGATCAGAAAGCACTGGGGTTGGGGGGTGTCTTTAGAGCTCCTTTATGGAATTTGGATTTGATTCCGAGTGAGAAGACTTTGAGCAGAAGAGACATGATCATGAGCACAGGGGTGGCTTGTCTTTAAAGGATCACTCTGGTTCTTATGTACAAAAGGAGATGAACTGGAAGCCACTCCAGAAATCCAAGGATGAGGCACTAATAGCTCAAACTGGGTGGACGCTGTGGAGGATGTGGAAAGCGGTCAGATTCTAGATACGTTGTGAAGTCGAATGACAGGAGGTGCTGATAGGTTGTAAGGTGGCTATGACAGAAGCAGTTTCAAGGAGGACCCCAAGGGTTTCAGCCTGAGCAGCTAGAAGAATGGGATTACCATTTGTGAAAATGGAGAAACTAAGGAGTGGAAGTCAAGAGTTTGTTTTTTGAAGGATTAAAAAGTAAGGAGTGTGTATATGGTGAATTGGCAGTTGGATGTACAGATATATCCATTGATATGTTTATATCAGTGTTTATACACACACATGCACATACATATTTCTGAAAGTGCTTACCTCTTGTGCTTACAGTTCATGCACTCTTCATGCCCCAGCAATACTAAACACACCCTGTTC